TAGCCATTCTATTTTATTTTCTATTATTTCCATTTTATCTCTTATTTCCTTATTTTCTTCTTTTAATTTTGCATTTTCATGTCTTAATATTCTATTTTCCTCTCTGATCTCCTTTATTACATCTTTAATTTCTGTTTGTTCTTGATTTATTTTCCCCTGCTCCACTTTCAACTCCTTTACCATTTCAATTATACTATTGAAAATACATATTTATACTTCAGGTTAAAATACCAGACAAGTTGGGTTGTTCGAAAATTTAAAATTAAATTAAATTAAATTAAATAGTTGTAAAAAAATAATGAATACTTCAGTGTCTTTTTTTTGTCTGGCAATTCGTTTTTTAATAAAAAATACATTTACAAACTCAACATTTTTCTGCAATTTTATTTCTTAATTCAAATATGATTTAAAATGTAAATTTTTTTAATTTATGGAGCTTTTTCCTTTTTTCCAGCGTTTCTTGGCTAGGTCAGTCACTTTCGTTGACAGCATCAGATTCAGTAGGAAATTTTACGTCAGAAATAGTATCTTGAGTATGTTTCTCGAGTAATTACAGCTTATAATATAAAGGGAAAATGTCATAAAAAAAAATGAGAAATTTTATTTTTTTTACAACTTTATTTATTTATATATTTTCGAACAGCCCAACTTGTCTGGAATTTTTAATTTGAGTTTCTAAATGTATTTTTTATTAAAAAACGAATTGTCAGACAAAAAAAAGACACTGAAGTTTTCATTAATTTATTAACAACTATTTAATTTAATTTATTTTTTTTTTAATTTTCGAGCAACCCAACTTGCTTGTTACTGAAATTTTCATAAATTTTTTCATGCCTTTTTTATTTATTTATAAATTTTCTAACCGGCCAATTTGTCTGGCATTGAAAAATGAATAACATTTTATAATACCGCAAACACAATGGCTCTCCTTTTTTGTACATTAAGATCACTGAAAAATGTTGACATAATTTTCCACAGAGATACTCGACTCCGAACATTGGAAACCGTCTGACAATTTATTTTTATAATTTTTGTAATAAAAATTTTCATTGTTTCGATTGCCAGACAAAAAGTAAACGATGCATTTTTTTTTCTTGCAAGTTCGTCCCTATGAACCACCCATTCGGCTATTTAAAACCGTCTGGCATTTAAAAATTGTTAGGTACTTATTAATGTCTATTTTTGCATCAACTGCACACTTTAAGTTGAGTGAAAAACTAATTATTTTATTCAAAAGGAAATTAATTTTACCTTTCTTAGACCTCAAAATGCCAGACATTTTTCGATGACGCCACACCCATGTGCGTTAGCTCACGGTCTATTTTATATAAAACTCGATCCTTCAGTATGTCTAATTCTTGCCCTTTCCATAAGATTGTATTCGGACTTGCGATCCCGGTGAAACTAGGACCGATGCAGACCATAGGGATGGGTTGGAATTTCCAATTTCAGTATACCGAACCCACAAACATCACCCAGCTGCAGACCTACCCGCCCGTAGTGTCCGCACGTTCCAGGGACAAAAGGGAAATGCAGGAGAGCGATCGCGCCCTATTTTACTCCGGCTTGGAGGGCGTACTAAATAGGTAAGGAAGGAGTGAGGGTGATGCGATGCGAAATTTCCATTAGGTTTAGACGTGTGTGCAGGCCTAAATATAAATTTCTAGAGAAAATGTTGAAATTGATCCCCAATAGCGAGGATACAGGCATGGGCACTGACGCACCCAGTTTTGGCGAATATTTTCCCAAATTCCAGGTATTCCACAAACATTAGCATTCTCAATAGTTTCATAAAACGTTTAAGGGCCCCATATTCTTTAAATAGTGTTCTCCGCAAAGAAATAATTTCAAACATTTAATAACTGAATAATCTAAAGCTTATCAAATAATAGGAATGTTATGTCATGCCACCTGAGTATTTTCAAAGACGCCGCAGTAAAACGAAAAAACACGTGCAAAAAACGATCAAACCCTCAAAGTTTTAGGTACTGAAATCTACGAAAATACTAACTTTTTTATATTTAATTCCACATGTAAATATTCTTATAACATTTACTTGCTTAGTCCTACATATAAAATTGTTTACTTTTATTTATAAATATGTGAAAATAATTCTTAAAATGTGGTGTTAGTATAACAGAAAACGCATGTTTTACAAACGCTTTTTTTTAGTTATTATTTTATTTGGGTAAATTTAAATGGTAACAATGAATAAACAAAACATTAAAAATTTTATTTTTGGCTTACTTTTGTTCTACACGTTTTACTTTTAAAGATTTCAGTACCTAAAAACGCCAAAAATTTCACTATTTTTCGGCCAGGAATATGGCCACCTTAAGGAAATGTGTCGAAGAGAATGGGGGACACGTAGAACATCTATTATAAATTAGTAAACTTTTTATTACTGCCACCTTTCAGTTTATTATGGTATTAATTATGTTATTTATTATGTTTATTATGGATACGTAGTTATTTCCAAAAAATATGGAGTATGTGTAATAAATATTTTCTGTAATATCTTCATAATTTCGATTTTTGATAGGTATACATTTTTTATGTAAAATAAAATTCTCTACCTATTTCTGATAGTTCAGTGTAAACATTTAAAGGTATAAAAAAGTTACAGAAGAAATTCACAAATGTTTGTAGTAAAATTAACGCCCTGTTTGATTTAACCTAATAGGAACATAATCAGTGCATGCACTTCATGAAGAGGAACTTAGCAACAGCAAATTTTGCTCAAATCGGTTAACTGAGTTTTGAGTTAAGGAAAAAATAAGAAATCAAAAAAACTTTAACACTCTGCACCTAATTTTTTGTGACATTTTTTTTTTAATCGAGTTCTAGATTATACCCTTGAAGTAGGTAACATTAGGTGATACATTATATTTCTATGAACATTTATAAATATTTTAAACAGAAAAATTTGGCCTTAATGTTAAATGCGACAGCTTTTATGAATGTTTCTATACTATTTCAAAAAGGGAGCGTATATTCACTTGTTGATGAAGTAAACAGTTAGTTAGTAAATTATCCAATAGATATCCCTTGGAAATTAATCTTCAAAAACAATTTTCTCATTTATTTTACAAGAACCGCCTTCTACAATTCGGTAAAAATACAAGTAAATACTTTCAAAAAGAAAATTAAGTCGATACTTCTAAAGAAACGTATCTCCAGACCTATTCATACAAATCTGTTGTATGTTACATTGTCATGTACGGCCTCACTCTCCATTATAGCAGTAATAACTATAAACTTGATAACCTTTCGAGTAAAGTATGGGACTACCATAGATAGATTCTATTAAAGATACCATTCATTCCTTCTGATTAAGTTTCCTTATTACTTTTCAGCGAAGGAATAGACGGCAGGGCATGCATCTTGAGAAGTATTTGCGAGAATGCAGCAGATAGTACGTTCCATGAAGCTAATGGCCTCTATGGGCATCTAATCCATATTGCATTGACGTAAGTTCCGGTTCCAGGTAGTTCCTTTAAGTAGGACCTCTAAATTTTCTTTTGTGCTTTTCACAGGATAAGGCAGCTTCCTGGAATGATACAGTAAATATCTTTGAATGAACTTCACTTTACTATAGGTTTGTTGATGGTCATTTAATAATCTTGTATCAAGTCATTTTTACAATCTTCACATACTTTGTCAAGTTTCATTTTGATGAGAAATAAGTTTTCTTATAAACATATAATTTATTTATGTCAGACAGCACTATGAATTAGGAAACTGTACATGGCAACCCTTAATTTAACTGCCTATCTACAGGATGCTCTTAGCTAAAGATATTTTAGCATTAGACATAGACCGATTTTGAACTTGTTAGTTTTCATCAGTATACCATAGATGACACAACTGCTGCTCAATGTCTAGTGGCAGAGAGTGACCTACAGTTGCGGTCTTAATCTACAGAGTAGCGGTTTCCCATTTTCGCTAGCGCGACACTAGTGTTGCTTTCATAATACTTGCAAGTGTAGGTGCAACAGGGAAAATGTAAAAAATGTACAGGGTATTCCAATTAAAACTTCCCACCTGCAAATATCAGAATTAAAAAAAAAAATGAGAAAACGTCGATTTTGTTTTCAAGGGGGACACAGGAGGGCGTAAGTTTTGGTGCCTTGGAAGCTTTCCCTTAGGCAGGGTTGTAAGATACCCTTAAATTTCTCATTTTAAAGCTTTGTCAATTCTGCTCACGACTAAATACGACTTTTTAAATTTTGGTTGACAATAAAGTAATCACTTAAACAAAATATTAATTAATGAAAAAATGTTATTTTATTAAGTGTTTAAATTGGTTTCCACTTTCGAACGATCATTTCGAAGCATTTCGGGCGTTATCTGACGACATTCTTCAACAATTTCTCGATCAAATAAATTGTTTTGATTTTTCATGTATATGTCAATACAAATACTTTATCTCTATCAGTTCCACTTTTTTATTTGTTTTACTTTAAACGAGACAATATTGTCTCGTTTTGTCTTGTCGAGATAATATCCCGTAAAATCATCACAAATTCGATTGAATTCCATTGTCCTGCAAGAATAATGACTGCATGGCAGACAGCACAGATTTTTAATAATCGTCATCCTGTCAAAAATACTTCGTGTCGGTACGTCCTGGATTTAGTGCATACATTTTCGGAAACTGGATCGGTTACAAACAGAAAGCATCAACGTGAACAGCTGTCCTGGGTCACATAGCAATGGAACCAAATTTGAATCTCAGGAAACATGCAAGTACTTCAGGAATTCCTGTACCTAGTTGCCGCCGAATCTTAAAAACTCATAAGTATCACCCACACAAAATTAATTTGGTACAAGAAACGAAGACGATCCTGATCACCGCTTGCAGTTCTGTGAAGAAATGATCATGCTCGAAGGAATCCCATTTTTTTTGAATCCACGTGATGAAAATCCACGCATTTTTCATGAAACTCATACGCAGCGTCCCAGAAAATTGAATGTTTTTTGCGGGCATTCTGGGAGACCACGTCATAGGACCTTTCTTTCTACTGGAAAATCTGGATGGAAACATGTATCTGAATCTACGGGAAACGAATATCTACCCGATGTTTGTGGAAGTAAATGACAACGCTTTGCCAGAAGAGTTGTGGTTTCAGCAGGATGGTGATCCACAACATTATGCCGTAGCTGTGCGTGATTTTCTTAATCAGAACTTTTCTTTTCAAATCACTGGATAGGACGCAGAAGTTCAATTGAGTAGCCTCCCTGATCGCCAGATCTAGCGCCCTTAGACTTTTCTATGGGAACACTTAAAGTCCGAAAATTTATGCAAAACGATCGAACTTGAAGAATGTCGTCAGATAACGTCCGAAATGCTTCGAAATAGTCGTTCGGAAGTGAAATTTTATTATTGTATGGAAGCGGGGAAACCAATTTGAACATTTAATAAAATAACATACTTTCATTCTTACTCTTTAAGTAATGATTTCACATCCAAACCAAAATTTAAAAAGTCGTATGTCGTCGTGAGCAGAATTGAAAAAGCTTTAAAATGAAGTGTCACTTCCCAGACACCAAAATCGACGTGTCAGGTTTTTTTTTGTTTTTTTTTTAAATTCCGATATTTTCCAAGTGGGACATTTTAAATTGGAACACCCTGCATACAGCAGAAACGTTCAAACTCATATATGCATTATACAAGTTGTATATTATAATGACTGGTTCTACTTTAATATTTTCATAATATAGAGGGTGTTCAAATTTTTAAATTTGCCGCTATTTGCGTTTTTTGTACTGAATGGTTTTGGTTTTTTGACAGCTGCTGAAATATGGGGATTAAATATGAAAAGATATAAGATTGAACAAGGCGTGTTTATTGTTAAAAATTATTTTAAATTTAGCATTATGCTGAAGCTGGAAGAAAATTTCGTACAAGATATGGAAAAACAAATTGTCTAACAAACAGCACCATTCGAAATATTGTGAATAAATTTGAAGAAACTGCTTCAATTTAAAATCAAAGAAGTAAAACATAGTCATAGTGGTCGTTCAAAAGAGAATATTGCAGCTGTCGATGATAGTGTCACAGCAGAACCAAAGACATCAATTCGTCATCGTTAACAGCAATTAGGCATTAGACAAACCACTTTATTCAATATTTTGCATAAGGATCTACATCTACAAGCTTACAAAATACAATTAATACAAGAATTATTGCCAACTCATCACAGATTACATCGTACATTTGTTATTTGGGCTCTTGGAGTGAAAGAAGAAAATAATGGTTTTTTAACGAAATTACCTTTAGTGATGAAGCTCATTTTAAAATTGGTGATAATAGGCTACCAAGGTGGTGCAATCTATCACGATTAGACTTCTTATGAGTTTTTTAATGGCAAATTTTTTTCTGATAATCCTCAAACCATTGAACATCTGAAAGAGACCAGAATTGAGCAAATCATTCAAATTGAAGCACTATTATGAGAACACGCGATGGAAAATTTTGCTAAAAGATTGAAAGCATTTGGAGCTGCAAGAGATGGTCACTTATCTGACATTCTTTTCCATTATTTTTAGTGTTTTATAAAAAAATTAAAAGTTAGCTCAAATTTGAACATCCTCTATTCTCTAAAAAAGAAATTTATTAACATGGGCAAATATTGATTGGGTAAAAACATATTAATCTAGTCATGAAGAAATAGTCCTTGTGTTGATCAATACTATCTTGGTAAAGGTGCTTTATTTAACAATTTCTGTCAGGTATGTGTTTTTAAATTAATACCCTAATAGAAGACTAGAAAATGAATATTGTTTATTTCAAATTGTAGAAGTAATTATTGTTTGATAGCTATAACATTTTGCAACATCAAAAAGGTGCTTGTTAGCAACATACACCAAGAATACATATACGTAAAATTAATCATAATAATTAATTAATATTCGATAGTTTCATTGGTTGAAATTTTTATATTTTATTCAGTTGGAAAAATCGAATTAGAAATTATAACTGAAAAACAAATGCAGTAAATTTTTGAGATGAAATAAAAGTGGGTCGAATAGGTAATAGAAAAAACGTAATTATTTTATTTTTTTAAATCATTTAACTCAATAACTTTTTCAATTTAACTAAAGTAATATGTTTTTGACGAAAGCAAAAAATTAACCTAGCCTTCTTTTAGTATTACTAGTATTAAATTATGCCGACTTAAATTATAAGGTTGCATCCCGGGTCGCATAAAAACGTTTCCAAAAGAGAAATTTATTAACATGGGCAAATACTGATTGGGTAAAAACACAACACATTAATGACATTAATCGGTCGCATAAAAACGTTTCCAAAGTCTTTAATAAATAACCCAGGGTCGGCCTTCATTTTCGTTGAAAAAATAAACTTTAATTTACAAAAAAAAAAGAGAAGATAGAACTTTTTCGTATAAGACTTTTCTATTACAAATCTCATCGGGAAGCCGTAGTTTAATTTTTATAGAATATACACGCCACACCCTGTAGAGAGCCCAATTTGGGAAATTTAAAACAGCACAAAATTAACCATATTAAAGAAATGTTTTGAACACCTTCTCCGATAATGTATTGTTCGTGAAATAAAAAAGTTAAATTTCATTCACCATCTGTTTTTTAACTCTTAACAGTTCGCATGAAACGAGTTCCGATGAAGTTTTTTTTTTCATTTTAACGAGTACAACATTCAAAAGTGATGTATTTCAGGACAATTTGAGTTTCTCGAGATAACAAGTACAAGATATAACAGTACATTTTTTAATTTACACTATCAAAATTGTCACTAAATTTGTGAAAATTCTAGTGGCGCAAAAGTACTTCTTGAAAAAGGCAATTATACCTCTGAATCTGCTTTTCTTCGGAATTATTTAATTTATCATCGCTATATTTATATTATGCAGACTTATTAGGTTAAATATAGTACAATTTCAAATTGATTTGATTAAGTTGGAAGTTTGGAAGAAATAAATAAAAACATATTTTTTTTCCAAAACTATAACACTTTGTATCTCAGAAAACGAGGCCATACATACGCCTCTTACAAACTTTTTCTTATTTCTTTTAAGTACTACTAGTTTTCTTAACATACAGTATATTAGTAATTCGAGATGTATATATTTTTTTCATATCGTTTCATGCCTTGCTGCCAGAAACAAACATTTTGGATTATAGGTATACATTTTCTTAAATGTTTAACACTACCTTCAGAGTTCTGCATAAAACGTTATGTTATGAATTACGGAAATAGCTTTCTGACAGTCCATCCCCAAATAAGATATTAAAAAAAATACATTTTCCACATCATATTTATACTGATAACGAGGAAGGATATCCTTGAAAGATACCCCATTTTAGAATTATTTGTATCAAATCAATTATTTAGTTCAGAGTTAAGTATGAACCCGTGTACTACCTATTCAATATCTACATCACCGAAACGACTTACAATAATAAATGAGGACCCTATTCCTTGTTTTTATTTTATTTAAATATTTATAATTTGATTCTGGAGTCGAAAGTCTCTAAAATTCTCCTAGGGATAAAATTGTATTATTATTTCATAGCTAAAGTATTAAAAAAGAGCAACTGATTATGTAGAGTATTGTAAATGATGAAAAATTATTTCAAATAAGTTGCATTTCATGCATCTTATTATATAATATTTTTAAATAGGCAACTGTAGATAGTACTACTGAAATAAGTTATACCAATTAAAACAAAAACAAATAAATATAATTAAATTTTAAAGGGTAAGGTACGGGATTTTGCTTTTATTAGTTCTTGAACCGTGGATTTCTATTTTTCTTTATTTTTTGGTTCAATTGCTACTCCTTTTTCGACCTAAACTGCACAATTACATTTCTAAATATTTTATCAAAATGTTAAAGTTCACAGCAGTTGCGAATAGCCATTTTATCTGCATCATTTAGATTACAGACATTCTTTATGAGGAAGTCTGATCTACGTCAGAGTTTGATAAAAACTCTGATGCCTTCAATGAAACAAGTAAAAGTGTAGACGCTGGCTAGACGTATCACTGCAATATTTTTGTTCTTGGCAAGGTGACAAGCTGATAAAATATGTCCAGTGTGGTCGATCTCAATGTTTGTTTACATAATTACCCTTAGATTTACATTACAATTATCAATGATTACATAATTTTTATCGCCGCAACTCAAAACTTTATGGAAATGCAGTTATCAGGATCTAATTTATTTAATTAATAATACAGTTTCGCAGTAATATGTACAAACAATATTTTGTGGTATTCTATAAATAACTAGTTAATTTTTAATTTAACTATGCATTTTATTTAATGATAGAGTAGATATCTGTGTTAGTATACTAACATGTTTTTCTACTAGTCCAAGCGCTGACGATGAATTTAGGGAATGTATTTTAAGCAAGTTGAAATAAAAAAATAGTATTTCATCAATGGGTGAATCTGGAATCGTGAATCATTCAGAGCGTTTGCGGTTATTTCCCTACTGCACAGCATCTTCCTCGGGCTGATTGATTGTTGAAAGACCACGTGACTCGAGTTTACCACATGGCTCGGGCTCTCCATACACAACAGAATATTTTGAAGTAATAAATTTTTTTTGAAAAATTAACAAATAAATAATAATGTTTGCATTGCAACAACTCTAATGAAATAGTAAAATTAAAGATATTTATAAATTTTATTATTAAAAAAAAAATTAAAATGTGTTATGAAAATCCTTTGAAAAAATAGATATTCTAAACAAAGCATTTTGTATATTAACAGGAACAATAATTTAAAGATTGACATATTAAATTATTCAATATTTTTTTTATATCCAACTTTTATTAAAATAATATTAATTCCTACAACTAAAGCAAACTTTTAACGTCAATTGACCTCAGGTTGAAATAAAAGATTCAAAAATTTCCAAGTTGCCTAAAATATATTTTCTTCGTTTACGTTTTTGCAAATGTCACATGCTGCGCAGTAGCGAAATAACTGCAAACGCTGTGCCTGACTCACGATTCCAGATTCACCCATTGATAAAATACTGTATTTTTATTATTACAACTTGCCTAAAATACATTACCTAAATTCGTCGTCTGCTCCCCGACTATACTGACTAATTTTTACACGACTTTTACAAGGGAATTATTTTAGCAGTATTGTATATATTATTGTGCAATAATAAGTTATATCGTTTGTCCCAAAATTCATGCAAATTTGAATTCTGCCCATTTTTGCAGCAAAGCGTTGCCTATGAAAAAAAAGACAACGTGACAGCTGACAATTCAGGATTATTAAAAATCGAGCACTACGCGAAAGAACAACGCGTTTTCATTGTTGGGCAATATTTTTAAAATAATGAAGGTTTGGCAGCTGCAGTTTGCCATTTTCGTACAAAAATATGGTCAGAATAGTGATTTAACTTCTTCAGCTGTCAAGAGATTAATTTAAAAATTCAGGGAGAGTGGATTAATTAGCGATCTTAAACACTGGGCTTCCTTCAAGAAGTCGTTTAACAGAAAACATCGAAGCAGTTCGTGTGAATATTGCTGAGTCCAGGAACATCAATTGTGTTGTGTTGTAGAATTGGACATTTCGAGAAGCTCTCTACAGCGTATTTTAACGAAAGATTTGCATCCTCATATTTACAAAGTTCAATTGGCTCAAGAATTGAAACCTACTGACCACGTAGAATTAAGAGTTCGTTGAATGGATTTTTTGAAAGTGGATGTTGATTTTTCGAACAAAATCATCTTCAACGATGAGGCTCATTTACATCTTGATGGCTTTGTTAATCGACAAAATTGTCACAGTTGGACTTCAGAAAATCCACTCGTGATTCTTGAAAAACAAATGCATCCACAACGTGTCGCTGTTTCTTCGAGAATGCAATTGGTCAGGCAATAACACTTAATGGTGCTCGCTATCGCGATATGATAATCCAGTTTTTTGTGTCTAAATTGCAAGATTGAATGTAGACGACACGTGGTTTCAACAACATGACATGTAGCCCGAGAAACAATTCATGAGTCATTTCCTGGTCGCGTAATTTCCCGTTTTGGTGATCAGAATTAGCTGCCCAGATCATGATTTAACGCCGTTAAGAGTTTTTTCTTTTTTGAAGTCTAAGGTATGCGCCAGCAAGTCCACGACCACCCAAGCCTTGAGAGAGGAAATTGAGCGCAGTATCGACGAAATTCAGCCGTATTTACGTAACAGGGTCATGGAAAATTTCGACAAAACAGTGCGTGCCGATTTACCCGATTTGCTATTCCATGCATAACCCTATACTGTACACTTTATGAATCATTAAAAGATTTACAATTTTTAATTAAAACCTCTGTTTTCTGATAATATTACTTCTTACGTGAATTTTAGGACACCATTTAGTAGTAATATTTTAAAAATAATTCTAGTTGTTGTTAGCTTTATTCAATCAATTAAGTGCGATTACATTTGACTGTTGGAAACTAATTTTAATGCACTAGGAACAAAGCTATTACACTACTGCTATTAATTTATTAATTTCAGACCTGACTACGGTGACGGAGAAGTAGATCCACAGCTGAATCCTATTTACTACGAAGCACAAAAGGCTGGAGAGTATGGTGTTGAGTGTGATACCTTATACCCTGACTGTAACTGTAGAAATGGATTTCTAGACTTGTTTTCAGTTGTAGAAGAGGACTTACAAAAATATACTGAATTTAAATAAAGCGTAATTTATTTAGAATTCCTCAGTTAGCACCTTGTAGGCAGGGATAACTCATTATTATTTTATGCTTTAGTTAACTTTTTTTATTTTACGAGGAAATGTAAGTAGAGAAGTAGTTTTTGTGGTTAAAATTTGTGTCAATTTAAAAGAAACGCTAAATGCATTATTATAATAGTTAAAAAAATTACTTACAAAACTCCCGTTTCCTGTTTAATTAACACCTCATTATATCTTTAACCACTTCCCGTTCAAGAAATATGGAAATTTTAGCTGAGAGCAAAACACCACCTGTTGATGAAACTTTTGGTCAACTTAACCTCACTGGTCAACTTCACCTCACTTTACGGCATCTAAAAAGAAAAATTTCATATGATTGAAAATAAGTTGTCCTTTACAACCAACAAAGTATGTCGTGCAAAACAGCGTTATAAATAAATTGTTCCAGGGTCAGGCAAAAGCCGCTGGGGAATTTGCTCTTTTTTCATAGCTTATTTTTACGGTAACTTAAAAATAAAGGAAATCATCCACGCCTCTTTGTTCCCAAGATAACTTTTTTATATAATGATAGTTGTTAATTACCTAACTATCGAATCGGGATCTCAGAGACAATTAAAGAAAAGGATAAACTTTTATTTCCAAAAAGTTTTACATTCATAGTTCATAATAAACGCGCTAGCAGCAGTGAAAGAGTGACCGCAAAATCCGCTCGTTTTTGCGTAGTGTGTAGCAAGAACGGGGAAGGTTGTACAGAGGTCATGAAAAATCTAGGTGAGCATAATTCGATTTTTCCAATATTTGCCCGACTTACCCCTACTTAAGGGGTGGAAACCACCCCTAAAACAAGAAAAATGAGAAAATAGTCGATAACTTCTTGGTAAAATTGGGGGAATTTCACATGGCAAGGGTAAAATCAGGAATGTCCTTCTAAAATGCTCAATATAAACCCACCCCCCCGCGTGGGGGTAAAACAAAAGATCGAATTATGGAGCCCGTCTTTCGTATCATTTGTCGGGTAGTGGGGGAAACAAAGTACTTCATGAAGTGGATATCATTCCCCGTCTGCTATCGGCAATAGGGGTGGTTTTACCCCCACGCGGGGGTGTTTTTCACCTTGAGCATTTTTAGGAGGGCATTCTTGATGTTACCCTTGCCATGTGGAATTCCGCCAATTTTTACCCAGATTTTGGGGACCATATTTTTTGTTTTCTTGTTTTAGGGGTGGTTTCCACCCCTTCAGTAGGGGTAACTGATCAGAATCCGACAGAAGAACGAATTATGGGGGCATATATTTCATATCATTTGGATTTATAAGGAAGAGTGGCACAAAAAAGGCAATTCATGAAGGGAACATCATTCGCCGCCGTTTTCGGCAATAGGGGTGGTTTTACCCCCACGCGGGGGATATTTTTCACCTTGAGCATATTTGGAAGAACATCCCTGATCTCTTCCTTGCCATTCAAATTCCCGCCAATTTTTACCAAGAATTGATCGACGTTTCTTGTTTTAGGGGTGGTTTCCAACCCTTAAGTAGCGGTAAGTCGTTCTTTTCATCTATTCATTATTATTCATTACTATTCATCTTTTCCATAAATTTCATCAACATCCATAGCTTTTATGCATATGTGTAATATGATTTTAATGAATAAATGACCAATTTTCCGATAGGTCGTCTAGATTTTCGTGGGCAGTAAAAAAGAGTATAGAAAACATTTAAATTTGCCACTTATTTTAGCAATTTGCCAACTTAGCGTCATTTCTTTCGAGTTACTTTTTTGATATTATCGTTCTATATACCCTTTCCCGTCATAAAATGTAATAAAATGTCTACTAATAATTTGTTCACATTCAAACTCTAATTCTATTGGAGTATGAGTACACTTTCATTGAAAATATGAAATTGTGAGTTGTTACCTTATGACTGCGTCTACCAAATTGATATTCATCGACTAGATACACTACATACTCACAAATTGGAGGTGTTACAATATCCATCGTACTATCTGAATTTGGTGCCACTAGATTTTTTAGATATCTCAGCAAATTGGAAGATCAGAAATTTACAGAATTTGAATCCATAAGTTTCAGTGGTAGACCAAGGGATTTATGAAGCAGGAGGGCTATATCAGACAATAAGACAAATTTCTGTGAGATTCTTATAACAATATTATTCCCTATATTTCAATGACTGTCTGGTACTTACTTTTACACGGTATGATGCCGTCAAACAGAAACCAAAGCCAACCAACCCAACGTTTATATAATTTGCTTCAAGTTACAAGGCAAGACTAATGGAGTTGCCCAGGTACAGTCTGGTCGCGTGTTTCATATCTCTGCAATTAACCGAGACATTTTATAAGGCAGGACTTTATCCGCCATCAATCCTTCTCAACTGGAAAGATTAAAATTTGTCCTTAATCAATTACAGTGATGGATGAAGTGATGTGAGATAAGTTACCTTGGTGACAGTTATACGGCTATTACGGCAATTGCAAGGAACAGCAGGGGCTCATTTGAGGAAGAGGGTAACGTGCTCCTAGAACTAACTTAAGGCTTCCATACATGTAAAGAAAAAAACGTTGTTCCGAGTAAACATTGGATAACATATGTACGTATCCGAAAAGGCTGTTCTGATTCAGCACCTGATTTGATTTTTTACTGTTATCGTTTTTACTTGCGCTCAGAAAACTTATTTGAGCGAAATACGCACAACATTGTGTGAGAAGGCTTTTTGACTTTTTAACAACTGGAACACTAAAAAACAGTTCCAGAAATGCGTACATTTTAAACTACAAGTTCTTAATATCTTGATACCAACCGTACATCCAGCCTTCCCAAATAAAACCACGTGTTTTGTCTCTTTGTGTATGGTATGGTAACTTTAGTAATATCCATGACGAAACAATTTCGTTTACGCTGCACCAATAAAAAAGACGCAATATAAAGCACATCCTATATGCACAGTAACACATAAGAGAGCATACAGTTTTATATCAAACGAGATAATAAATTTTATGGTGCGTCTAACGCAATGTAGAGTACCAGTCAAATTGACTTTAAATTTCAACGTAATTTGAAAGCCTTTGGATCTATAATTATTTCATCTTCTTATTTTAGTCTATTTCATATGTAATCTATGTGTATACAGGGTTTACCCATTTAATCATTTCTATAACCCTTAAAATAAGAAAGATACCTGTATAGGACAATTAAAAAGTTGTAACCCTGTAAATACATATGTTGTGTTATCAACTTTTGGGGTTCCGGCTTGGACCGACGCTGAGTGAACAGCGTAAGCGATGATGTCATTTGGCCAGGGCCAGTGCTAAGCTTGCAGAATTGGGCGCGGAATATCAACATCGGGACGATATACCGCACACTCTTACTCGATCTGTCGAAGAAAGTAGAAGCTAACGTTATAACTTCATTTTATTAAGAAATATTGTTTATAATTAAATTTTGTAAAATAAAAGTTGTTTACAGTTGTGAATATGTGTAGCAATGATGCTAGGCTGAGAGGACTGTACTTGTTTATTTATATTGAAAAAACTCTTACAAACAATGTGGCAAGTGGTGCCTACTAATACAAAAATGAATGAAAAGGGTTATGATCACTGCAACAGTTGAAAAGAGAATGAAATTGGTCACACCACACTCCCTCCTCATCCTCTCCATTGCTCGGTCCTGCCAACCTTCAAGCGAGAAAATGCAAACGCTTGGACAGTTCTACCAACATATATGACATCTCTACACGTAAGTATTATTAAAAACTTTCCATACCATTAAAAAAAATCACGTTTTGAAGGCACTGTGGGATTTCTCTTTAAGTGTATGTCATCTTTACTAATTAACGAAAACATCGATAGAGACGTACTAGAGAAAAATATAGAAACATACGTAAGTTTGAACAAAAAAAAATGCGATTTAGAACAGTTTTGTTTCTCATATTCAATTCAATTCAATCTATGATACAGATGTAGACGATGTAACAGCAATAAGCTTCAGTGATTTCGTTTCTGAAACAAATTCCATTTGTCGATGAAGCTGGCATCAGGAAAAACTTTATTTCCTGTTTCCAACTAAAAAGTTAGTATGCCTTGGTTTGTTCTTTGAAATATACAGTTCAGTAGTCAGTCTAAACTATTGACTTTATAAGCTACGCTATCAGATAAGTCAAAATAAGGACTGATGCTTGCCCACAAATTTTGACGTTTGTAGGCCATCAGGATCTAGGCGGCCGATGCCGTTAGATCTGATAAATTACGCATTTACCATTATTCTTTATTACATTTACAACTTTTATTACACTATTATAGCAGCTTCAGCAACAAATTTTCTCTTTTTGAGACGTCCTTCATCTTAGACCTAGCGGCATCGTCTGCGCTACCCCCTAGCTGGGCACGGTCTAGTTTGCCCTAAAACTGTGGGGAACATCAACAACACACGGATTCTCTTGCATTGTATCCAAAAGGACGAATTACATATATTTACAGAACTGTATTGCCCAAGTTGTTGAAATATTAAAAAAAAACTTATGTGGTAGTTGAAATCCGTCAGACACCTCCTAGTTCCAGTTTAAACTTTTACAAGCACAACGATGCCATCTAGTTAGCTTCAACTGGCTTAACTCAATTTTTTCCATTGTACTCACCGACCAACTGGAGAACTTCAAACACAAGGACAACTCATCATTCAACTCAACCCAGTCTTTGGAGGTGGTCAGTAGTAGCCCTTCCCGGTCAAGCCTAGACTCGTCAGCTGACAGAGGCAATATCATCATCGGAGGTCGAGGTATATTACAGCAATCCCCACATTGAACCCAGCAACAATGGTCTGGTCACATACACCTGCATAATTACGTAAGTCTCTTTCATGACAACCACTGTCCTTACTGAGACAATGTAAAGATCAATTGAGCACTAATGTGCTTTCTTACATTGCAATAACATTATAAATGTTAACGCTGTGTTATCTCATTTTTTTAAAGTTAAAGTTTTAAAGACTATTAATTTGTTTTTAAGATGTATCCTTTTATTGACTGTCCTCTTATATCAAAATTCAAAATAATATATAATAAACAAATGCCTATGTCTAGTTTTAATATTGTAATGAAATGATTGTTAATTCCGTTACATTTTAATTAATTTCCTTTATAACAATCATTTTATACCCAGTTTCACTTAATTCTATAACCTCATAGTAATACCGCTGTCATTGTACTCCAAGCACCTCGTATAACACTGGAGAACACGTTATATATTTCGATGAATACATGTTCTATGACTCGAAACGCCATCTATGCGAGAGTATAAATACCCGGGTACCAATTCAATGGACCTTCTTTTATTTTCCCTTTCCGCTTTGGTTTCATATCCATGATATTCGAGAAAGTTAGAAGTACATGCTTTCTCGATGAAAAATTGTTAAAGTGCAAGTAAGTGTGTTTTTACTAGCTGAATATTTTAACTGCTTTCGTTATTTAATAGCTTTCTTAAAATTTATTTAGGTTTCGTTAATATACGTGGGTGGGCATTTTGAATTCCTGAAGCAATGTATGTTTTTTGTGTATAGTGCAGAATATTTTACCAGCCTATTTTTTGTTCCAACTTTGGTGTGAATCCGGAAAAACTTTTTACTGATTTGGTGAGGTATAAAATGAACCCTGAACTAACTGCAGTTAACAAACTGAATAATTGGCCCCCTGGACACTACGGAGTGGTTGCAGCGTATTCTGACGTTAGGATGAGAAATATGTTGTAGAGTTTTATGAAATGTTTTACTTGTGTAGATGAAACTTGTAGGCTTTACGGTTATTCTGTTTGCCGATTAAACCTAGATAAATTTTGACCTTTTGATTTTCAATTTTATGGTCAAAAATGTTAACTTTTTAAATTGTATTCATCTACAACAGTCAATATTCACTGCTTTTCTAAATTATGGTACATTACAAACTTATAGGCTATTGACTATGTACTTTAGATAGGAACTACAACGTAACAGAAATTTTATTATTTGATATGTTCAATTGACCCTAAAATATGATAAAACCGCGGAGTGCTCCTTTTGAAGGGGGTGCGTTTTTGAGAATGAAGTAAAAAGGTGGTATTTTCAATTTTTTTAGTTTTACTCGAAAACTATGAATTTTTTCTATATAGTTGTCACCTGAAAAGTTGTAGCAAATTGAATTTCCAATCCATATGAGACCTTTTGAAATAAAAAAATGTATTTTTAACAAATATATGCCCAAAAAACGAGTAAAAAAACCCGAAAAAATGTGGTTTTTTTCTTTTTGGTTTTTGGCCCACAACTTTTTTCTGAGAGGAGTTAGGTATAGGCATTGCTTCACAGAAAAAAAAGTTATTGTTTTTTTCCTTTAAAATAAGCCTTTATAGAAGTACCTGCGACTAATAGAAACCGAGATACACTGGATCAAAGTTGGCTACTTTTTGGATTTTTGGTCAATTTTTGCCCTTTTTTGACGATTTTCGTCTTATAACTTTTTTCTGAGTTTATGTTTCAAGACCTTTAAAATGGTGCCTGGTAGAAGTATATACAATTAAAATCAACCGAAATATGTCAATTTAACCAACGATACTTTTTCTTATTTTTATAAATTTTTTATTACTTTCGGTATTATTTTGTCTAATAAATTTATTTTTGTGAATGTGAAAGTTAAAATAAGTTTCTAGGTGATTGGATATTATTTTTTATTTATTTAAACAACAGTCAATCATATATATCTTATAAATTTTCAGTTTCATTCAGCATATTTTCAATATTAATATCAATTTTGTCGTCATAATTTTCATCAATGTCCTCTTCAGAAAAATCAGGCTCATAAGCATTCAATTCCCATACATTCTTTAATACATTTACAGGCTATTTTTTCAAGTAAATTTTTTCAGGTGCAGGAGATTTATTATTAAAAATGGGAACTAGCCCATTTATATAATTCAGATGCAACCATTCCACTGTTGCATCTGAAAATATACTCTGAACTCATGATGTTTGAGAGCATCAGTTGTTGAAGGCAATCGAGGTAAGGTAAATTTTGTACTTGTTGAATACTTTTGAAATAATTTATATAAGTTTTTAGGCTGTCAATTTTTTAACTATACATTATAGTTACAATGCATTCAGATGCGGCAGTGATATCCTCAACACTAGCATTTTCAAGTAAAAATACATCGAGGAAATTTTTTAATTTTGAAAAATTCTTATTTACAAAATTGAAAAATTTTTTTGTAATTGTAATTTTTTAATTAAAAGTACAAAAATAATTAAAAGAATTCGAAATTTTACAAGATAAATATGATTAATTTTTATTTAAATAAATAAATAATAATATTCAATCACCTAGAAACTTATTTTAACTTTCACATTCACAAAAATAAATTTATTAGACAAAATAATACCGAAAGTAATAAAAATTTTATAAAAATAAGAAAAAGTATCGTTGGTTAAATTGACATATCTCGGTTGATTTTAATTGTACAAACTTCTACCAGGCACCATTTTAAAGGTCTTGAAAACAGCTTTCAATTGATATGGCATTACATTGATCTAAATTAACTCAGAAAAAAGTTATAAGACGAAAATCGTCAAAAAAGAGCAAAAATTGGCCAAAAATCCAAAAAGTAGCCAACTTTGATCCAATGTATCTCGGTTTCTATTAGTCGTAGGTACTTCTGTAAAGGAAAAAACATTACCTTTTTTTTCTGTTAAGCAATGTCTATACCTAACTCCTCAGAAAAAAGTTGTGGGCCAAAAACCAAAAAGAAAAAAACGCATTTTTTCGGGTTTTTTTAACTCGTTTTTTTGGGCATATATTTGTTAAAAATATTTTTTTGACTTCAAAAGGTCTTTTTCGATTGGAAATTCAATTTGCTACAACTTTTCTATTGACAACTATAGTGAAAAAATGCATGTTTTCGAGTAAAACTCAAAAAACTGAAAATACCACCTTTTTACTTCGTTCTCAAATACGCATCCCTTTAAAAGGTAGCACTCCGCGGTTTTATCATTTTTTAATAGCCTTTAATAGTTAATAGCCTATTAATCAATCTTTTTCTTGTTTATTATTATAATTCCTTGGATATTAATCATTTTCATCACATTATAAATATTGTAAATATTATAATCATTGTTTTACTAGTTCAGTAACTTCGAGTAACAAAGTCAATTTTTAATTACTAATTCTGTAGATCTTTAAATTTTGTAACCATGGATATCACAACACAACCAGTTTTAAACATTTTATCCTCATAACTAACAAGATAGTTATTGTCAAATGATCCCACCTTGTGTTTTTTCCATTGTCAACACTGACCAAGTGGACTGTCTTTACACGAGGGCAGTTCTTCAAGACAACTCTAACGGACAACTCAACATAGTCTGTGGACGACGTTCGTTATAGACGTTCCCAGCCAAGTCATACAACCCTGCGCAGAGGCTCATCTCCTACACCAACCACATCACTGGAGAACGCAGACAATCCATCCTCCATTTAACCCACCACATCTTCGGGATCCATACCACCGCTTGTGTTACGTAAGACTTCTACCTAACATTGTCTTGGTTAGACTCCAAGTTATAAAGATCAGTTGAACTTTCATGTAATTTGTCATGTCAAAATATTGTAAAGACTGAGTGATGTAAAAGTATTTTTTTTTCGCAACAGTACATACCAATTACCAACATAGAGAATAACAAAAAAAGAACAACAATACTCGTACATTGATGAAACGAGCTAATACGAGTACAATTATATTCAAGTGTCACTGGCATATTTAAACGTGGAATACAAAGTTTTCAAATAACAATAAAAGATATCACATATACCTAGGTACATATTTTGTTGTAATTATACAGGTGTCAGTAAATAAGTGCGACAAATTTCAGGGGGTGATTCTACATGAGAAAATAATGGCAGTTTGTTTATAAACGTATGTCCGCAAATGATTCGTTTTCCGAGATACGGGGTGTCAAAGTTTTTCTTAAAAACTGACGATTTAATTTATTGCTCTGAAACCGGTTGAGATGTGCAAATGAAATTTGGTGAGTTCTAAGAGGTAGTTATTGCGCATTTTTTGACACGCAATTAAGAATTTTATGTTCATCATTGGCGCGCGTACGGGTAATAATCTCAATTTTTTTAAAGAAAATAATGCTACGCCACTGAGATATTACAAATTAAAAATTATTTTTGAATTCCTCGAGCAGGCCAATGTTCCGTACCTCCCCTACCTATCCAACGATTTGGATATACTGTGTCTAAGTGATTACGTACATTAATGCTAAAATGGGCTGGTGCACCATCATGCATGTACCATAGGTGTTGTCTCAGCTGTAGAGGAATTTCTTCAAGAAGAACAGGTAACTCTTCCTGTAGGAAATTAAGATAAGATTCGCCTGT